GAAAAAAAAACAAATAAAGAAAAATTTGGAATGGGGTAGTATACTACTATAGCAAACAATTTGATAAAACTTGTGAAGAAAAAATCATTACTCTGGTATCAGATAAGAGATAGGATATTATAGGAGATAGGGGATAAGAGATAAGAGATAAGAGATTAGAGATGAGAGATGGGGTTGGGGTTGGGAATGAAGTTTAGGGTTGGGGATGGGGATGAGAATGGGGATAGGGGTGGGGATGTCTTAGTTCTGGCACATAGCCAAAAAAAATTACCAAAAAAGCGTTACGCTGTTATATTAAATTATGTGTTGTATTTACAACGATTAAATAACTGAAAAATAAATTCAATAATTTAACAAGTCATATTCCATATGAATTGTTTTAGGCCGGATATTATGAAAACACTAAAATATTAGCCAGAGACTTGATATGTTCACTAGCCACCTTAGTTACTAGCTTGTTAATCATTTCCATTTTCTATAATTCCCCCAGTACTCTAAATTTATTCGGTACTTCAACGAGACATGAAAATGCTCTTTCGTGGTTGCAGACTCGGCTAAAAAATGATTTTTTATATAGGTACCAACTACAAACAAAACCACAATCCTTTTTTTTATTTATAATGCGTATACAATATAAATGGATTATAAACGTCTGGTACTCCAGACGTTTATAACCCATGGCCAAATTATGCATTCACAGGTAAAAAAAAGTAATTTAATACTATAATATGTTTACACTTCTACTTTAGATTTTAGCAATCTTTAAGTTGACATTATAATATCATATCTTTTTTTTTTTTTAATTTAGGTCCGTTGCGCCCCAAAAAAACATCCGCACCGCGTACTGGGTCCGATCATATACCACGACCTGATTATGCCGATCATCCAGAAGGTATACCCCTAAGTGAACAACAAGTTAAACTAGCATCTCACATCAAAGTGTTGAATGACGAAGAACTAGGAGAAATGAAAATAGCTTGTAAGGTAAAAAAAAAAAAAAAATTTACAAATATTGAGAATGTTATCCGTCACCGCTGAACTATTACAAGTATCCAAAGTCATGTTGTACATCTGTTAATGGAGTTATCTGTCATGGTATACCGGACATGAGACCTCTAGCCGACGGATACATTTGCAATGGTTTGCGTTTTTCAACACTACACAAACACCCCATTACCCAGTACCCTATTTTTGAAGTCCAATCATTATTATTATTTACAGTCGACATAACTGTATGTCATCGAGGATATCATGGCGATCTGAATGAAACGTTCTTAATAGGGAATGTGTCTAAAACTGCTGAAAAATTAGTCAATGTAACATGGGAATATTTACAGAAAGCCATAAATACAGGTACCTACGAAATTCTTATTTCGATGATTAGCCTTGGATACAATTTTTTTTTTTTATTTAGTTTAGCCCGGTGAAAAGTAGTTTTATAGATATGTTATAGAAAAAGTTTTGCGCTCAATACTATTTTATACAAACACAAATGTTTTTTCAAACATACTGTACATGTACTTAATCTATTGTTGATGCTTATTTTGTTCAACATAAATAAAATTAATTAATTACCTAATTTTTATTTACCCGGTTAAATTTAAAAAAAAACCAACACGCCAAATAAAAATCTGTTTAATAAGAAACTAAATAAAAATGAAGAAAATCATCGTTATATTTTCTATAAAATTATATAAAACTGGTTAATTGCTAACCAAATACATCTTTTAGTGATCAATAAGCCTTTAAAAATTGTGATATTAAAAAAATAATATCACACTGTTTTATATCCCTTTGTTCGGTCTTATTTGTATAATATTGTTAAAATATAATATAAATCAAAAATATATTTTCAAAGTTATCCATCTAGTTATAATATAAATGTAAAACAGTGTTTGTATAGAATTTAAGGCGTATAGTTTTTATAATAATATTTAATATATAAGGATTTTTTTTTAAATTATTTGTTTATCGAAAAAAACAAGCATAACAATTACAATTGAAGAATTAGGTACCGCACTATGGTATTTAAGAAAAACCTAAGAAATAAATTTATAAAAACAGGGTTGTCGTTGTTGTTACGTTCAGTAACGGCTCTATGAATATTATTAATTATTTTCAAGGTGCATTGCTTCTGAAAACAAAACTTGAAAATTTGAAGAATGAACCCATCGAAGTGTGCAAATAGTTTAATAGTAGTGGTATGTATAACTACTGTATGTATAGTATAGAACAATGATTCAAACATGTTTTTAACCGTATAGCATGGTATACCTTTTAGTCTTACTATATAATACTGCTTAAATTTGAAACAATCGAATACTTCATATCTCATTCAAAATAAAGTTATTTCGTGATACACAGTTGTTGATTTTCTATATGTGTTCCTTAAGTGATTTACACAAAAATACTTAAATAACATCAATACAACTTTTGGAAAGTTGAACTAAATATTGTAGTGTGATAAATGTATTGCTTAAAACTCCTTGACTTATGACCAAACCGTTGACATTATATTAATCCCACTCTAATCACGTACTATGGACTTGGACTCGATTACTTTTTAGAATACGAATAATTTTCTAGATGTTTCAAAAAAATGCTGACGTCATAAACTATATTATACTCATTTAACGTTAGTTTCGAATAATTGTTCGTGCTAAAGTCAATGTGAGGATACTGATAATTATGGTACATTATGTAGATAATATAAAAACGACACTCAAAAAACATAATCTGATCACCTACTCTTAGGTTATTTATTGGTCTGTACAACTTTTAGTAAACTAGAAGAAAGTATACTTAAGGGTGAAACGCGACTCAGAAAGCCTAATAAAATCTTGTTTTGTGAGTTAACTCCAAAAGTGAAAGGTAAAAAAAAGTATTGAAAACATGTCGAAGTTATAACTTGGGCGTTTTAATCTGTCCGTTCCTCTTTATACTCGTATAAGCGTAACTTAACTTTGTCATGTTTTTAATTGAGTTTTATTTTAGTAGGACTAAAGCAGTTAAACCTTAGCCATCAGAATATTATACATATCTGGGTTTTTTATATACTGATGTATTTGTACATGGTTTAAAGGGTTTGAAATAATATTTTTGGTGTTCAGTAAAAACAAGTATTATTTGATAGTACCCCATCAAGAAGCATATTTTGTATAGTATATTAAATCGGATGATTCGGTATCGCTTTTATAAAATGTGACTTGGTTACGTAGTATCTGTTGTTTTTTCCAAACCGATAAAATTCTTACACGGGTAACCTACATAATATAGTTTTAGTTTAACATGAAAACATGTTATTATTTGAACAATGCACGTGTACAATATTATTGTGCTCGTGTATTACAACTTAGATTGTACTTAGACTGAGTGGCCTCTGTCCCTCGGAATTTGCCTTGTTATTTAGCAGATGGCCTGTTAAATTGGAAACACGATTTAATAAATCATTGCAATGATACAAGAACCGCTATTTATTTAAATAACGATTTTGTCCAACACTGCTAAAGTGACAATATCCTGCCCCAGAATTTTTTTTAGGCACCCCCTCTTGATAATACATGTAGCTTCAACGTTCATGCTAGATATGCAACTGAAAAAGTTTTCTTTTCTTTCATTTTCCCATATAAATAATACCTACACCTAATAAAATAGTAGCCAGCTAATAATTGAATTTCTATGTCGAGGTAGTATCTGCCTATTACAAGCATTAGGTTTTCCGGATTGCGGCACGCTATACATTTTTGAAAAATTAACACTTATAGCATTATCATGAATCTCTTGCTATATAATAAATTTGCGAGCACTTATTTCGCCTTTTGCGGTGTGGCTCAAGATTGTTTGATAGTTTCAAAGAGGATTAGAATTTACAGATTTTTAGTAAAGTATTATTATTATTATTATTATGGAAAGCATTGTTACCGGTTGACATTGGCCTTTGAGAATTTCGTTGGTATTTCATATTTATTTTATGTATACAGTTGATCGCATAAGATACCTACGTCATATATTGTTGTTCTTTTTTTTCCTGAGCAGAGCTAGTGAAAACATTTGGCCGTTGTGTACACCGCACGGTATAGCTGAATCTCGAAAACAAAAACAACGGCTAACTAACCCAGAACCAAGCTTAGCAGTGAATGTTATTCGACCTAAATTTACGTTATAGCAAAAACAAAATATATTAAATTCAATTTTCGTATACTTTCGAAAGACATTGGGCTGGCTTTTAGCAGCCGAATTGTCGACGAATTATGATAGATGAGAAAAATTCGTGCGATACAGTATTAAGACACAAATCTTCAAAGTTATAGTGTGTGAAAATTACGGTGATGATCGGAATGTCTGGTAGAGAACTAAAAGCGAGGTTATTTTATCGAGTTGGTTCGGATGACCATTGAGTCTAGAGTGGAACGTTGCATAGTCGATTATGGCAGTTTCGTGAACTGTTTTGGTCTGAACAAATATTTATTTAGCATCTAAATGCATTTGTCATAAAGAAGAAGGACATATTGTTGTTATTCACACTTAGTAGACAAATGTAATGTTGTAAAAGTTGATTGTTTACAGTAGTCTACAGTAGTAAACTTGCTGAGGTTGATTACGATTCTTATTTCACACAGTTATGTGATCCAATAACCAATAACCTAACCGATAAGCCGCCATTGTTTTCGATTAAACATAATTAGCATAAGGCACTTTGTTATAAATTATTGCTGAAAATTATTAGTCAATTTTAATTAATTATAACACATCATAATATTATAATATACGTTATAAAAATTGTATTTTAATACATTTTTTTTATTTATGCGTATTGTGTAGAAATACCTAGTCCCAACTCCGCTTTCTATGTATGGTTTGTACGCAATAAATCGCAAAAAAAAAAAAAATGAACCGATTATGTAAATAAATGAACATAATATTTACACTGCAAAAAAATATTTGGATTGTAATTTTTTGGTCGACATTTAAGCCCAACCATAAGTCGCAAGCAGTACATTTAGTTTCAAAAGCTGAACAAGTCCACTGTTGTCCAAGAACCAACTCCTCAATTTAAGTAAGTATTTCTATTTAACTCTAAAATTTAAGCTTAAGCTAAAAAGGCATGAGCCTAATGAGTCAAAAGTGTTTAAGAACAGTAGTAAGGATTTTTTATTGTTAGTTATTTTTTTAATCGATTCTTTATCATCGTTTTACAACATCCACATTTTGGAGAGAATTCTATAATAGATTTTGGTGTTTTTTGGCTTGAAGTGTACCAAAAGAAAGTGTAGTGAATAAAGGCATTTTTTTAAATCGCTTTCATTATACCTCACAAAAGTAGAACTCTTTGCGTGTACAACCAAGATTACAAAAATACATGTTTTGTCCACCCCAAGTGAAAGAAGTAATATTCAGAAGAATAATTAAGATTTTCCACCATAACTCATAAAGTTTCAACAGTACAAAGATAAAAAAAATTAAACTTTATAGGGAACTAAATTTTAAAAATATTTATAGTTTTAGATTTTTAACAATATTCTGTAATCGTCAAAAATAAAATTCCAAAATTAAAAACATGCAAAAACAAGTGTTTTTTTTTTGAAGAATGATATTTTCTACACCGTAGACTATTTTTTTTTACATCAAACAATTGAAAAAAAAATAACATAAAACCACAATTAACAAAAAACAAAACATTAGACATTTTCTTTTTTAAAAAGAAAATTGCAAATAATGATTTCTAGATATTTTATAAGAGAAAAATATAACACATGTAACACAAAATGTCATTTTGACCCATGTTGTCGATGTTTTTAAAAAAAGATCATTAAAAATAAATATAATTTTAATGCTAAAACATAGAAAACATAAATTTTCTTGTTAGACTTTCTAAAAAGCACTAAGCAATATTAAGTTAATGTTTGTTTGATAATTATCAAATAAAGTATAAGCGTATAATGTTTATAATGTAAAAGTTTATAATGTGTATAAGTATACACATTATAAATCTAATATAAATATTAAAAAAAGAAATGTTTTTATCATCCGTCTTAATAAAAAATGTATTTTCTAAAAAAATTTTATTATTCACTTTAAAAATTAGGAAAATATAGTTTTTGCATGTGATTAAGTTTTTAATTTTATTTCTGACGATTTTGAAACGAAAAGTTAAAAACAAATTTGTACACGTATATAAGACAGAAATGAATACGCTCCAAAAATAAGATTTTACTAATGATATATGATGGAAAATCTAAATCATTTTGCTGAATATTCCTTTTTGACTTGGACGAAATATTTAGTTTAATTCTATTTTTTACGCTATTATCAAGACGCTACCTTTGTGACATATTATGAAAACGATTTATAAAATTTCATTTTTTACTTCATCTCTCTAAAATGTTATCTTCTTTCCACTATATCCTCATAAATAGTTTCACTTTTAAGCTGTTATGCGTAGTCAAGTTTATACACTTGAGAATTAAGTGTATACAACATCATAAAATCTAAATTTAATAAGAACATTTCTACATTTTTCTAATTTCTATTTTAAATAGTGTAACCTAACTATTTTATACAATGCAATTTAAATAGTTAGGAGACTTATTTTTATTTTTGTCTATCTTCATTATTAGTGAAATAACTGTAATTTAGGCCAAATAAAGTACCTTTCAAGATATCTACCTTCCTATTCAAAAAAATCAGTTTAACGGTCTAGGAAATATTGTCAGGCTAGTAAAAAAATGTGTAAATACATAAATATATACAGGGTGTTCCAGCATGAAAGGTAAGTAATAGTTGATTGGACATCTGGGGGACCCCCAAATAAGCCTCCCGTTTTTATTTTTTCGATAAGTCAAAAATTGAAGATTTCGACAGTTAAGTAAGAAAATAATGACTTAAAAAAAAAATGATAAGAGTTAGGTGCTGAAAAAGACTGAAAATGATGTGACCCCTCTTTTAAGGTGAGCTTTTTGCACTGAATAACATGAAATAATTTTTTGTTATTTTAGGTCATTATTTTTTTACTTTACTGTCGAAACCTTCAATTTTTGACTAATCGAAAAAATGAAAACGGGGGGCTTATTTGGGGGCTCCCCAGATGTTCAATCACCTATTACTTACCTTTCATGCTAGAACACCCTGTATATATATATATTTATCATATTAAAATTTCCAAAACCATACCTAACCTAATCTTCTTATCTCTGCACTGAAGGCAACTGCGACTAATATACAACGTTTTTTTATTTATTATTCGCAGACAAAAATGAAACTCTTCTGTTTAATAGTATGTTTTTTTTTTGTGGATGTTTTGGCAAATGATAATGGTAATTACTTTATTTTCGCAGTTTAAAGTAGTTTTAATTTGATAAAAATTCAACATATCACTTTTTTACAGATGATTATAAGAAAAATGTTTTCGAGACAAGTTAGTAACATTTTTATTTTATAAACAATTGTTTTAATTTTTTTAGAATCCACTGTTTTTATACAGATTTTTTTAATTATGTATCACAGCTCAAACTATCAGAGCTGCGTATTTACAAAGTAAGATGTTATATTTTAAATAATATACTAATATATATATATATGTATATAGAAACTTTATTTTACCTAATTTGATTTAATTTTAATATTTTAGTATAGTTAAAATTTTCATTTGTTTATTCTAGATCATTTGGAGCATATAATTGAGACGATGAATAATAACACCGATTTCTGTAATCATAACTAAAATCATCTTAAAATATATCAGGACAGGAGTAGAAAAAAATAATTTAAAATAATATATTAACTGTATCTCAAGTTTATCGTTATGCACTTGATGAGTGTTTTAACTACTATATTTTTCACCGAAATCTAAAAAGAAGCTTTACGAAAAAAATACTGATGTTAGCTCAACCAACCTCGTCTGATTAAGATATTTTATTCTAATCGACTTAACTGCATAAACTCAGCTAATACATTTCATAAGGTTTCCCTAGTCTGTATTTTATAGTTTTTTTCTACTTTGACCTTCGTCTTCTAATTTCTAATTATATAATGTTAATGTAATAGTTTACTATCGTAAGCCAAATTTAATATCATTAATTTCTATGATGTAAATTTCAGGCATACTTAATTTTTTGTTTGCTGTACCAGGTAATAGTTTTTGTTGAATTTTATTAAAATTGTCCATTATTTCATTCTTATTGAATTTTCCAAATATTCTCATCGTATCGAATATACAGTGGAGCATTATTCTTCCAAGTTACTGATACGCTGTTTTTTTTTTACCTTGAAATTCGTCTTCCTGTTCATAATAGAATGGAAAAATAAATGCAATATCATTACTTTATGTGTTCTTAATTTCAGACAAAATCTTAATTGTCGATAAAATAACGGGTAATAATTTTCATTGCAATTTACGGAAGCGCTTCCACACAGTTGTTAGATATTCTTTATGCACACCAGATTTTTGTTTTAATTTCAGCACGTCCAGGTGATCCCCGGATTAAAAGTAAAAACATCTTTTATAGTTCATATTTATTATACGTATTTCATATTTATTATTTATAAATACTTAGAGTATGATCATATGTACCTGTTGACAAATACCAATATGATTTTGACTTCGGTTTTGTTCATAAAAAATATGTAGGTACATTAAAATGTATTTTGTTTTAAATTTTAGAAGCCAATTTTTTCTTGCAAAAAATGTTGCAAGACATTGAAGATTCAATACGTAAATATACAATTAAAAATTAATAGTTACATATTTTTGTATTTTTAAAGAATATCTTGATTTATAACCTAAAATCATAAATCTATATATGTTTTATGTTTAAGCTTTTAAGAATCATTCAAAATATAAATCAAACCGTTCATTTAATCATCGCTATAAGATATAAATCTAACATTTATATAATACTATTTTGCAATTAATTAGTATTGATCTAATTAATTTCAGTTATAGAGAGAATGTTATGAAAAATACCGGGTTTTAGTAACTGCATAATGATTTGATGTGTTTGTTTCAGAATATAGATATACTGAAGGTTATAATGGTAATTAAGAATTTTTTGACAGTCGTAGATAGCCTTAAAAGCTTGTTTTAGAATCAATATTTTCTTAATATTATTTATTTAATGTTTCATGTCAAATAATTGTCATAATAAACTTAACATTTTGTTGAGGAGAGTGTGAGAGAACGTATGACTACAGTGCTATTGTGTAATAAATTCTTTGGGATTTTAAGTATAGAAAGAATACATTTATTGAGTTGCAACACTAATAAATGGTTGTACAAAAAGTTAGATATATCACAATTATTTGAAATGTAATGCAATCATTTTGTATAAAGAGCAAATAATATATTATTTGTTTCTTCGCAACACGATCATTTGATAACTATTTTCATAGGTTTGGGAGAACTGGAACAATTTGCAAACAGGAGAAGAGATTATGTTGCCTCATCTTTAAAAGTTTTAATCCAAACACGTATAATAGGTATGTATAATTATGGAGTTGTTTGTTTTTTGAACACTATTAATGTGTTTATATAATAATGAACAAGGATTCAACTGAATTAAATGTTTAACAATTAACCAAATAAATTATAACTACTTTCATGTAATACAAATAGCATGCCTGTACAATACGTACAGTCATGCTTATTGTATTATTTTTTTATGACTTTGTAATAATAAATAAAACAGTCGTGTCCTGCACCAAAAAGAAAAGTAGTAACTGGTAAGCTAATATTAGCAAATTAAAAAAAATATATTTTTAATATTTTTAATAGATACTGTGCAGGATGGAGATGATGAAGCCTCTTTATTACTGAAGTGTCGTTTGCTTGCATTATTTGCTAGTACACAATATCCAGTAAGATACTTAGTGGAAGTTGAGATTGACTTACCTGCCCGTAAATGTATCTTATCGGATACACATGATAACAAAAGAGTATACGAGACAAATGATGTCCAATCACTTAAGGCACTAATAAAACATTCAAATCCACGAAATCCACCCAGAAATTAACCTAATGTTAGAAAAACACATTTTGTTTATTACATAATATTTTATTATTTATCTTATTATTATCATTGTACACATTATAAAATTTGAAATATTATAAAATAATATACATTTACTTAAGCTGACGGGAAAAGAGCCGTCTGTGGATTTTTTCAATAACATATTCCACATGATACATTTTTTTTTTTCGTGCATAATATAATATGTCTATATCTGTTTTATGACATGTCTACTAATATAATAAACAATTACCGAATAAGTAAGTTGTATTTTTACCTAATCTATTTCAACTATTTATTTTTGCTTTTAAGTCCTTTCCTTATTTCTGTTCTACCTTTATTAAATGACCGTGCAAGTTTGGGTAACAGGTTCATGGTTTATATTCCTAATTGATAGTTCATCTTAATGGTTATTATAGAGAGATTTGATGTTAGAGTTGAAACTAAATTTGACTAAATAAAACAGTGTAAAATATATATTACATATACCTAAATAGCCAGTTGTGAAAAAAATATCCTCGCTGGTCAACTGCAATGGTATTGTAATAGTTTAAATATGATTTAAATAAGAACAATGCAGGATACGAAAATAATTCCTACATCATATTTTAAATAAAAAACAATGTCGATTTCACTTTTTTTTTGCAACGCACTATTGTGTGCTAAATTCTAAGTTTGTAAAATGATTTATGTGTATTTGATATTTAGTGAAGTGTTTTTTTGTGGGATATAACGTATTATTATATAATTTAATATTTATTACATGTGTCATGAATACCCAGTAAAAAAAAAGACTGGTCGATAATTTTGAGAAATAGGCTGGAGGAAAAGCTATAAGATTATCGTAAATAATATAATTTTTCCATACAATTATTACAAAACTAAATCCGGAGAACAACTGCCGGTTGTCCTACAATAATATTTATAAAATTATGCACCAATGTTTATAAAATTTCCTAAATTGGTTTCCTTACTTAATTAGTTTGGTTATTTAGCAAATGGTGTTATTTAATTTGCAAGTTCACTAAATGTATTCAAAATTGTCTTAAAATAAATTACACTTAACTAATTAATTAGCAAGCACATTTTGTGGAATTGCAAGCATTGTTGAGATGTATCTTAAGATGACGTTAAACCCGCTATTTATTAAGGAGTTAATTATAGGCAATTTTTTTGTAAAATCGTAACTTAAAGGCTAAACTATGATGTTTAATTATAAGTTAAGTAATGTTGACTCTTTTTTGGCAGTTTATCAATTTTTCGAAATCTCATAGCTTCCATGACAGCGATTTAAAAAAAATCATTTAAACTGGCTACGCATATTCTTTCTTATCAATTAAATAACAATCGAAGTCAATTTTTTTTTTACATATTTAAAATAACCAGAACTTCATCTAGGTTCTCTCGTCACCTTTTTTTGAAATTATTAACCGACAGTCACAATTTATATTTTAACTTTGACATTTTTAAAAAAATTTTAAGTGCTTGTATTTGAGGTAAAATTTTAGTTTTCCATGAAAACCGACGAGATAACCTGTTTAAAGTTCTCTTCTTTTTAACGGTTCCAACATTTTTTTATACATGACCTACACGAATTCGCTTTTACCTACACGCTTTACCGTAAACCCATTTTTTAGGATTAATTTTAAAGGGTATAACGTCCTCCTAATTGAAATTTGTAATTAATTTCATCTATTTGGTTATTTAGATAATTTTTCAGTTTATTATCTTGTCTCAACACTGATTGCTAGATATTTTTAATACTAAAATGGCAATTTGAATGTTTTTATTGAGTTTTTCATGTTAAAAGATGAATTTGAATACATTTTGTATGCGTTTCTATAATTTTTAACACTTCATTTGAAAATTCTAATGCTAAACTTGCTTTTTTTCAATTTACAAAACTAAAGTTTTAGTGTATTGAGGATGGTGTTGGTAGTGAGGTTGGGAATGGGGATGGGGTTGGGGATGATAATTTTTTTTAATTATGTGCTGTATTCACAACGACCAAATAACTGAAAAATAAATTCAATAATTTAACAAGTCATATTCCATATGAATTGGTTTAGGCCAGATATTATGAAAACACTAAAATATTAGGCAGAAACTTGATATGTTTACTAGCCACCTTAGATACTAGCTATGTTACTGCTTGTTAATTTTTCATTAGTTTTCATTATCCATAATTCCACCAGTACTCTAAATGTATTCGGTACTTCAACGAGACATGAAAATGTCTTTTAATTTGTTTACTAAAAATAAAATAAAATATTTATTACTCGGATTCTATAAAAAAATGGTTGTTATCTTTTAAAAATTAATTTAGAAAATATTTCAATTAAAGTAGCAATTATGCCCAAATTAAAAAATAAATTTTAACATTATTTTATTGATTGCTATAATAATATAACACAATTATACTTAAGGTGTTGAAAAAAATTATTATTTTTTTTTTTTTTTTTTTCAACCTATATTAGGTTGGCTTACAACGTTTTTAACTTCGCTCTCCATTTATCACGATCTTCAGCAAGTAAGTATCAATCCCTGCGTCATTTTTCAGTTGAGATATGTACGAGTTTCTTAGTCTTCCTGGTGGTTTTCGTCCTTCAATTGCACCTTCTATTATAGTATGATGCAATTCTTCGTCATGGCGTAAAACGTGTCCCATCATGTCCCATCGTCGTCGCTTTATGGCTTTAATTATGGATCTTGTTTCTCCAACTTGGGTCAGTACATTTTCATTTGTTACTCTTTCTGTCCAGTTTATTTTCTCCATACGTCTCCAACACCACATTTCGAATGCTTCAAGGGATCTTTTTTCCTTTTCATTAATGACCCATGTCTCGCAGCCGTATAAAGCTACACTCCATACAAACGTTCTTAAAAATGTCTTCTTAATTTCTCTGCTAATTTTTTGCGAAACCAAAATTTTCTTTTTCTTGATAAAAGCTGCCTTTGCTTGCCCGATTCTTTGTTTAATTTCCTGCGAGCTTTTTCCGTCTGATGTTATTAAACTTCCCAAGTATTTAAAACTAGAAACTTGGGAAATAAGTTTGTTTTCTAAATAAATATTTGCGTTAATTGTGGGTTCACGTGCACAAACCAAAATTTTTGTTTTACCTGAATTTATACGCATTTGATACTTATTTATAATTATTTGCATTTCTGCCAGGGCTCTCTGAAGGTCGTGCTCTGTTTCTGCTAATAATACGATGTCGTCTGCAAACCGGATCATTGGAATCAATATACCACCTACTTTGATTCCAATCCCAAGTCTGTTAAGTTTATCTTTAACTTCCGTTATACTTTTTTCTATGTAGCAGTTGAATAATAATGGTGAAAGTGGGCACCCTTGTCTTACACCTCTACGTATTTTCGCACTAGCTGACTCATTATTTATTGTAATTTCTGCGCTTTGATTTTTGTAGAGGTTATATATAATTCTCCTGTCTTTAAAATCTAAATTTATTTCCTTCATTATTGAGAACATAATTTGCCAATCAATGTTGTCGAAAGCTTTTTCGATATCTATAAATGATAAGCATGTTATTTTATTATATCTTTCATAAGATAGTACGTCGCGTCTATTATGCTTTCACTTGCGTTTCGTGGTAGTTCTCCGGGGATTTCATCTATTCCCGGGGCTTTTTTATTTTTAAAATCTCTAAGACTGGCATTAAATTCACTTCTTAGTAGCGGTGCACCATAAGAGCACTCATTAGTTTCTTCATTGATATCTTGTAACTCATCCCCTTGATAAAGTTCTTCAAGGTACTCTCTCCATCGGTTTACCACCTCTCTTGTGTCCAAGAGCAATTTACCATTCTTGTCTTTAATATTATTATTGCGAGTTTTATTTGTTTTGAGGAAACTTTTAATGGTTCCATAGGCTTGATCTAGCCTATTTGTTCCAAAAAGATGGTTTATTTCAGCACATTGTTGCTCTAGCCATTCTTCTTTTGCTTTTTTTGATTCTCTGTTTATACGGTTTCTTATGTTTCGATATTTTAGTTGTCCTTCCATGTCAGCCCGGTGTTTGTATTTTCGTCTTTCCTCAATTAGGTCCAAGATATTTGGGGTGATCCATTCCCGACTAGGTATTTTTCTTCTCACACTTAGTGTGGTTCTTGAGGCGTTTATTACAACGCTTTTTATGTTCTCCCATCTTTTGTCTATTGGTTCTTTTCGCTCCTCTTTATTGCTGTATATTTTATCCATGTTTTTCTTTAGATCTTCAACTACTTCCACGTTTTTCAACTCTTTGAGATTATAGTTTGTTTGCTTTCTTTCAACTTTAACGATTTTTTTTAGTTTTATACAAAATTTCATACCCACTAGTTGATGGTCACTATCACAGTCTGCTCCAGGATAAGTTTTGCAAGATTTGACTTGATTTTTAAACAGATTCTTTACTAGTATATAGTCAATCTGGTATCTTCCTGTATCGCCGGGCATTTTCCATGTGTATCGTCTTCTCTTGTGTTCTTTAAATAATGTATTCGTAATCACGAAACTGTTTTCTCTGCTAAATTCCACTAATCGGTCTCCTCTTGCGTTTCTTTGACCTAGTCCATATTTTCCCACTTCTCTACCGTCTTTTCCTTCACCTACAACAGCATTCCAGTCACCCATTATAACAACGTTATCTTTTCCTTTTGTGAGTTTTAGTAGTTCTTCTATCCCAGCATACACTTCCTCGATTTCTTCGTCATCAGCTCTTGACGTAGGCATATATACTTGTATTACAAATAGATCATTTGGTTCTGCTTCCAGTTGGATCATAATAATTCTTTCGCTGTACATGATATAATTTGTAACCTTTATTCCCCAGGTTTTATGAAGCACTACACCAATTCCGCATTGTCCGTTTTTTCCTTGGGAATGAATTATTCTATAGTTCTCTGACCAGAAATCTCCGCTGTTTTGCCATCTTGTTTCACATAAACCTAGTATTTCTAATTTCATTCTTTCCATTTTAATTATAATATTTTCTAATTTGCCTAATTGGCGCATTGTTCTTATGTTCCATGTCCCTATCATCCTATTTTTCCTCTTCCTACAGGGATTCACCACTTGTACCTCGTGCAGGGTAGTTCCCACCCGGAGATCCGATTGGGG